TATTGTCAAAAATGTATACTAGTCTGGCTTCAATTCTTCCATAATCTTTCCAAAAAAATGTTTCCTTATTTCAAAGTCTAGTAAAATCCGTAAATTTCATCTGATTTTGACACGGTTTTCAACAAACGGAAGCGCCATGTTTACACTTTCAACCGGGTATTCAACAAAGAAAGATAACTTTGGGTTTCCAATGTTTTTAGCGGGAAATGTAAAAGAGGTATTCCGATCGCGGTAAACCGGGACTCATCGTCAGCTGTCTGAAGCGTGAATCCCGGTAAATGGTGATAATTTGATTTCATTCCTTATTTTTAAATGTAATTCAAAGTAATTGAAAAGTAATTCATAATTACATGGCAAAAAGGCAATGTAATTCATTACTTTCAATTACATGTAATTGAAAATATGCTCAATTACACATTACATTGAATTACTTTCAAAAATGACATTAATTACAGCTACATGTAATTACAATTACATTTTTAATAACCCCAGGTCTGATGTATTGTATGTTACATAAATTTGTAAGCTTGTTACACTTAAAACATAAGTTGTACTGTCTCAAATTGAGTTAACCTACCAACTCTAAATGGGGCTATTTCTATGGATATTTGCCACAATAGTAGTACTACTCATTAAACCAAGTATACATGCAAAATTCTGTGAAATGTTTTTCTCTTCTCAAATTGACGTCACTGGTTTGCTATTGGTGTCATGCATACATGTAAAAACAAGACATTTTTTATACGACCGCAAAAAATTTTTGTGGTCGTATTTTGGTATGACGTTGGCGTCGTCGTCGTCGTCGTCATCGTCCGGCGTCGGCGTCGTCGTCGTTGTCCGGCGTCGTCGTCCGAATACATATTGGTTTTCGCACTCTAACTTTAGTTTAAGTGAATGGATCTTTTTGAAATTTGACCATAAGGTTAAATACCACAAAAGGAAGGTTGGGATTGATTTTGGGGGTTATGGTACCAACAGTTAAGGAATTAGGGGCCAAAAAGGGGCCAAAAATGAGCATTTTCTAGTTTCCAGACAATAACTGTGGAACAGTGTATGGATCTCTCTGAAATTATACTACAAGTTTCCATACCACAAAGGGATGGTTAGGATTTGCTTTGGGGGGTTATGGCTCAAACCGTTTAGGAATTAGGGGCAAAAAAGGGGGAAAAACAAGGTTGTCCTGGTTAATGGACAAATACTTTAGTACAAAACATAATTTAAAGCAGTGTAAGGGAGATAAATCAAATACATCATTGAAATTATCTCCCTTACACTGCTTTTAAATTATGTATAAAGTAATGGTTAATGAACAATAAAGATAATCTAAAACAGTGTAAGGGAGGTAATCCAAATACAACGTTTTGGTTACTTCCCTTACACTGCTTTTAAATTATGTTTAAAGAAATGCATATTTATAAAGGAAGACCAGTAAAAATATCTGCAAATGTTTTCATCTTTTTTTTTACAAAAAAATCCATATGAAAGATTAATTTGACACTATATTTTTATTTATTCTATTATAAAATAGATTAAGTTAGCACTATGGTAAATTTAAATGGGTAATTATGGTTGCCAACTCCATTGGAAATTTGAATTGAGATTATGACCATATCTTGAGGGAAAGAATTTTTTTGGGGGAAAAAGGGGGGGGGGATAAAAAGAAATTGTGGGGGGCCAATTTTTTTCTCATTTCAGATTTCAGAAATTAAAAAGAATTATTCTTCAAATATTATTTTTTTTTCAAATTTCAAATATTGAAAAATTTCAAGAAGTAATCTTTAATTGCACAGTATGGCACATTAGATTTGTAAAATCTTTGATCACATTTATTTATTTGTTATGACGAATCTAACAGTGTATTTAGATTTTTAATTTTGGGTCCAGTTTTCAAATTGGTCTACATTAATGTCCAAAGGGTCCAAAATTAAACTTTGTTTGATTTTAGCAAAAATTGAATATATTAGGTTCTTTGATATGCTGAATCTAAACATGTATTTAGATTTTTGATTTTTGGCCCAGTTTTCAAGTTGGTCCAAATTGGGGTCCAAAATTAAACTTTGTTTGATTTCAACAAAAATTGAATATATGGGGTTCTTTGATATGCTGAATCTAACCATGTATTTAGATTTTTTATTTGTGGACCCCGTTATCTAATTGGTTCATATTGAGGTCAAAAGGGTCCAAAATTAAACTTTGTTTGATTTCATCTAAAATTGAATTATTGGGGTTCTTTGATATTCCAAATCTAACCGTGTATTTAGGTTTTTAATTTTGGGTCCTGTTTTTTAAATTGGTCGACATTGAGGTCCAAAGGGTCCAAAATTAAACTTAGTTTGATTTTAACAAAAATTGAATTCTTGGGGTTCTTTGATTTGCTGAATCTAAACATGTGTTTAGATTTTTGATTATGGGCCCAGTTTTCAAGTTGGTCCAAGATAGGGTCCAGTATTTAAACTTTGTTTGATTTCAACAAAAATTGAATATATGGGGTTCTTTGATATGCTGAATCTAAACATGTATTTAGATTTTTATTTGTGGGCCCAGTTTTCAAGTTGGTCCAAATTGGGGTCCAAAATTAAACTTTGTTTGATTTCAACAAAAATTGAATATATGAGGTTCTTTGATATGCTGAATCTAACCATGTATTTAGATTTTTTATTTGTAGGCCCCGCTATCAAATTGGTTCATATTGAGGTCAAAAGGGTCCAAAATTAAACTTTGTTTGATTTCATCGAAAATTGAATTATTGGGGTTCTTTGATATTCCAAATATAACCGTGTTTTTAAATTTTTAATTTGGGTCCCGTTTTTTAAATTGGTCTTCATTGAGGTCCAAAGGGTCCAAAATTAAACTTAGTTTGATTTTAACAAAAATTGAATTCTTGGGGTTCTTTGATATGCTGAATCTAAACATGTGTTTAGATTTTTGATTATGGGCCCAGTTTTCAAGTTGGTCCAAGTTGGGGTCCAAAATTAAACTTTTTTTGATTTCAACAAAAATTGAATATATGGGGTTCTTTGATATGCTGAATCTAACCATGAATTTAGAATTTTTATTTGTGGGCCCCGCTATCAAATTGGTTCATATTGAGGTCAAAAGGGTCCAAAATTAAACTTTGTTTGATTTCATCAAAAATTGAATTATTGGGGTTCTTTGATATTCCAAATCTAACCGTGTATTTAGATTTTTAATTTTAAGTCCCGTTTTTTAAATTGGTCTACATTAAGGTCCAAAGGGTCCAAAATTAAACTTAGTTTGATTTTAGCAAAAATTGAATTCTTGGGGTTCTTTGATATGCTGAATCTAAACATGTGTTTAGATTTTTGATTATGGGCCCAGTTTTCAAGTTTGTCCAAGTTGGGGTCCAAAATTAAACTTTGTTTGATTTTAACAAAAATTGAATATATGGGGTTCTTTGATATGCTGAATCTAACCATGTATTTTGATTTTGGACATTGGACCATAATAGGTAAATTAAAAAAATTCAAGTTCTTAGACCACATTCTTTCTGTGTCAGAAACCTATGCTGTGTCAAATATTTAATAACAATCCAAATTCAGAGCTGTATCAAGCTTGAATGTTGTGTCCATACTTGCCCCAACTGTTCAGGGTTCGACCTCTGCGGTCGTATCAAGCTGCGCCCCAGCGAAGCATTTTATTTTACTTTGTCTATGAGCTTGTGTTGCTTCAGAATGGAAGAACTGTGACATTTGTCAAAAAGAATAGTTTTATGTGAAAAATGTTTCTATTTTGTTTATTATTAAAGAAATCACATATCAATAAATTCTGGAATTCAAAAATAGTGGCTTCCCTTGTTACAGACAGGTACATTGTACATTGAGAATTGAAGCTGATCATTATCCAATCTGATCCATCAATGCTAAATAATTGAATTATAATTTGTATTGTGTATTTACACACTTTTGTTTATATAATAAAGGTGTACAAACTCTTCAACAGATTCAGGTTAGAATATAAAATTTAAAGCAAACCACACAAAAAAAAGAAGAATAAAAACCCTCAAGTTAAAATATTGGCTGTTAGCTGGACCATACTCTAGGGTAAACATGGTAAACTATAGCAGTCTGCTGACAGAATTATCAGCCAAGTGGTAGTAATTAAAAAAAACAAGAGAGGGAATCCATTTTCACTTCCTTTATGTTTGATGAATACATAGAACCTCAATTGATTTCATTTATTATCATATGAAGTGATACTAGAGAATTTCTAGGAGATTAAGTTTTGACCAGATGTTTTGTTAATAATGCTTAAAGGATATAATGTTGATCTGATGGGGATAACAAATCCTATCATATTAATTATCATGGTGATTTAAGTAGAATTGTATGGCTAATCTGCTAATAATAAGTCTTCTATATGTGCTGCTTTGAAGTTCTTCTGTGATTGTAGAAACCATGAAAAAAAATAAACTAATTTCATTGCATTTACTTTTCTGATCTGTCCCAAGTTAGATAAATGTAATAATAAGAAAACTGCAGCCTTTGTTGAGTAATGCTACCTGGACCTTCAGAGTGAGCAAGATAGAATGCCAGAAAATAAATGAATGAACCAAACACTTTGTGTTCTTTGAACAAGTATTGAGGTCTTCAGTTTTACCAATATTTTCCCTCAAACAAAGGCTAATTATTTGTAAACTGTAGTGTGGATTAGAAATTATTTTTTGAGGCCTTACCATGCTTACAGATAACTTTGAATGGTAAGTCTGTTCATTACAAATAGCTAGCACACTAACTGCAAAACGTTACCGTAGAAGTATATGTACATGTAATTTGCTGATAAATTGCATGTAATTTCTGTATTTCAGGTCAATTAACATGATATGAAAAAAACATGCTAGAACTTTGTCTAATATTCTTATGTACATAATAGAACACAAGTTAAATGTTATTATCAGCAATAGTTAAATGGTATTGATATTAGTATTATCAACTACAAAAAATTAAGCACAGCATTTTTACCAAATTACGCTTCTATTACAGCAAGAGTTTGTTTCCTTATCGAAAGAAGTTAATATTTTACGGGACCAGTTACTGGAAAGAGAGGAAGAAGTAGCAGAGCTCAAGGCTGAAAGAAACAATACCAGGGTAGGTTATCATATAAAGATAAATACAGAGAAAGTTTCATAGTGTGTTGTAAATATGTCAAAGTGTAAACTTGGATTAGAGGAGTAATTAATAAATAAGTATGAAGAAAAGATGTGTTGGCAAGATAGGAACCAAACATTAAAAAAAAAAAAAACAACAAAAAAGGCAGTAGCCTTCAAAAACACTAATATCTCCACAATTCATCAAGAAAAATTGTTATTTAAGCTTACCATAGAGTATTTTATACATGTAAATAGTAAACTGAAAACAAACATTCTATTATAATGGTTGATCAGAGAACACATTCAACTGACAATGGTACATGACATTAAAGAGAGTACCCAGTACATAAAATGTAATTGTGTACTTCCTAGTTAAAATAAAGGAAAATGCTCCGGTAGATTTGATTATATGTGGTTTTTAAATGGTACATGTAGGAAGTCAGAATATAATAACAATATTTTGAAGGTACATAGTGTACTTTATTCACTAAGTAACCCCAGGGTTGAGTAAAAATGCAAAAAAGCAAGGTGCTGATAAGTGAATAACAAACAAATGTTAATGAAATTGGGATACTGTACATATTAACATGATAAAATAAGATGGCCAGACTTAATAAAGTTAAAGTTAATGTCACTTATGTGAGACATGTGATTGACAAAATTTTGTGGGTAAATTACAACTAAAACAAACCATCTTAGCATATATTGTATAAAATCATGATATTTATTTGTTTGGTCTTGTTTTGTGGAATGTTTTGATTAACTTAATAATTTGGTATACATCAAACCTTAATAATATTGTCGATTTAAGAATGTACCAGAAGAAAAAGTCAGAGGAAAAAAGTTATGAAACATTTATAGTTGCCCAAGAAACATATTCACATATGTAGACAGAGAAGCACGTCAGATTGTATACAAAGATTGCACTGAAAAAACATGATAAAAATGTCTTGTTTCCTGTGAATAGTTGCAGGAGATGAAAGTAATTTGATTTTAGAAAATAAATTGATAATTATGTATATTTTGTACTTATCTCTTATGATATGCAGGTGCCTTCAGAATGTTTGTAAACTTTAATCAAATTTTGAAATTGACTTAAAGTTAAAAAATTATGTTGAATCTATTGTTACTTTATTGGGATACTCTGCACTTGTATGTACAATGTAAGGTAGGATTTTAAAACATATACTGGACATAATGTAATGCACGGAACTCTCATAGTCTTTTGAACTCGAGCTCTCTGTAAAGATCTAAGAGATTTTTTAAATCTAATTGATAAGACACTGTTGGTTTTGTTCCAATGTTTTGGTAGTTGAAAGACAATCTAGATTCTAGCATCTTCAGAGATGGTAGGCGGAAGTATTATGTTTTATTGCAATTAATAGCAATGATCATGCCATTTCTAATAAAACCTCAAGCATGCCTTAAATATATTTAGGGTTAGTGTTAAATGGCCTCATTTACCATTAATTTTCAGACCTTTTAGTAAATTGCTAGTTTGTTTTCATTAAAATTTCCAAGCTCATCAAGAATCACAAAAGAAGAAGGGCAGTAAATATTATTTTTGGTCTTAAATTTGAACATTATACATGTAGTTAACAGCAAAATGTCTGTAATTGAAGAAATTAAATAAGAGTATGGTTTATCTTGTGATAACGTTACCAATGGTGAAATCTTGTCGAAATTAAGATTATTATTATATCATTTAATATCAACTATGAATTAGTAAGTGTGAAAAACTCAAAAAGAATTGCAACCTAAATGTTTTCAGCTGAGTTTTAAATTATATACCGCCATTTGTCCGTACATTTAATGTCTTTTCAGTAAAAATTTAAGAAAAATCTATCATTAATATTAATTTAAGTGTCCATCTACCTTAGGACTTAAAAAAAAGAAACAGCATGTCCATACCTTTGAATGGGCAGGGTGAACAAGCTAGAAATTTTATCAACCCTGTGCCCAATCCCAAAATAAACCTATGGAAAAAGCAAAATTTGCATAAGTTGTAGTATACTTTTAGTTTTTACCACAGATGATGCAGGCATTTATACATTTTAAACCATATTGTAGAACTTCTATTTGATAATTTATTTTACAACTATTCTTCACTGTTACACACCAATTAATTTCAAGTTGAGGGGAGGACCTAGGATTTTATATAATGTATGTTATACAAGGTAAGAGCGGAGATAATTTATTCTTTTTGACCAAAATAGGTGTATTATATGCTTTATAAAAGAAATGAATTAATTATGTATAGGTATATACATGTATATAGATAGTTTTCCTTTGAAGGTCAGACTTTTTTCATATAATTTACTGTCAGAAATGTTCTAATCTGCATGAATAGTAACATGTTCAGATTACAAAAACTTCAAGGTCCAGCACAAGGGTCTAAAAGTATAATGTTCCTTCCCAGATGGCATTGGGTATTAGAAATGGGTATTTTATATGGGTTTTTGTGCTAGTTTCCATGTATAAGTAAGTAGGAGACTGCATTAACATCTGATAAACACTTACATGACTTAGTGCACTTTTACTCTTGTTGAGTAGAACTTAATTCTGAGATTATACATCATTTGTTAGTCTTCTTAACTGCATTCATCTTTATAAAAAGTTTTTTTTTGGTTTCAGTTGTTACTTGAACATTTAGAATGTTTAGTATCACGACATGAACGTTCACTGAGAATGACTGTTGTGAAGAGACAAGCTTCCTCGCCAGCAGGTGTATCCAGTGAAGTAGAAGTTCTCAAAGCTCTAAAATCATTGTTTGAACATCACAAGGCTTTGGATGAAAAGGTAAATTAATTGAACACTAAAAAAATAAAACATAGGAAGCAAATTTGAGATATATATATATATATATATATATATATATGATAAAGAATGATTGAATAGCAATTCCATGTCTCCTTGCAATTTTTATGTTGCAGCCTTCATGCTTAACTTTTGAGTCCAGAAGCCAGAAGCTCAATTTTTTGGAACATTTTAGTTGGATTCTGTTGGCTTGTAGAGAAGAATTTTACAAGCCTGAAAGCAATTTTACAAGCCAGTGCCGTAGGACTTGTGGTTAAGCGTGAAGACTGATGTTGTATGTGTACATGTTGTAAATTGTCCTAGTCAGATTTTAGTAGTTTAAAAGGGCCATTGATGAAGTTAGAAATTAGTCCTCTCAAGATAAATAGTAGGTTAAAGTTCTGTTTGTTGAGCAGTAAAGTGAAATGTGTATAGTTTACTTCTTTGGACATTGTACATTATTGCCAATGAAATATGCAGATTAAGGTCATAGAAGGCATATGGAAAACACCATTGAAAGCAAGAGATTTGAAAGGTTTATTTAACTAAACTCTAATTTATTATTTCAGTCAAAAGGGGTAATGATAAGTAAATATAGTTTGTATACCAAGCCTCTCATATTTTGGAGTTCGGTTGAATTTCTACACCAACGGTTTTCTTTTTCTTTCAGTTTTATCCATGTGCATTGTGAATATCCTTACATAATATATTACATGAATCCTCATTTTGAAACTTTCTGAATGATGCAAGAAATTTACTGTTATCCACCGTTTAATTGGTGCATGAAAGTGAGCTTTGTTCTCATAACACATTCTGTACCCTCTAAACTGTGTGACCACAGAAATTATTTCTGGATATTCATATTATATAAATAGTACTCTAAGCGCTCTATATTTGCTTTAAAAAAATGAATTTTATTGGCTGGGAGAATGAAGCATGGATTTTAAAATGGTGGTGGAATCTTCCTGGCATGTTTGATGGTAATTACATGTATTTTTATCCATAGAATTGCTTCACACATGTATGCATATCAACATCTACATGTATAATAGATTCTCAAATTGAAATCCAGAATTTAAGTCAGGGAGTATTAATTACATGTATACATATGTTTTATTGTATATAAATATGTTTTAAGGTGTAAAAGTCAAACTTGCTCTCCTTCAAAGCATTCTAAATAGGAGCTTTAGGCTAGCTGTAACTATAAGTTTTACAATATAGGTACAATGACAAGATATTGAAGGTTAGAGGAAAATAAGCTTGTAAATGACTTACATTACTAAGTAAATTCAGATTACATGAAAAGAAGTTGACCTTTATCAAGTGTTTTCTCTTAGAATCCAGTAAATAGCCTTCTTTTTTTTCATTCTTTTTTCTGTCAATTATAAAAGTTATTAAATTGACAATAAAAGTTTCATAACAATGCAAATCCTGTCTGCTAGTTTTCAAAAATCCCAGCCTGCGTCTGATAAAGTTTTTACTTTAATAGTAAAAATGGGGAAAATATTGAGAAATCAGGGATTAATGCTACATCTAGAATTAAAAAAAAACAACCTTATTAAGTTATTTTATTTGGCCTTGATTAAAAAAAATGCAAATATGATACATTAATACACTATGATGCGATTTGTTGCAAGAAAGAAAGAAAGAAAAAAAACAAGTTCCTTTTCAATTTTTATACTACCGCAAACATTTTTTTGGGATCGTATAATGGTATGATGTCGTCTGCGTCTGCGTCTGCATTGGTTTCCAGACAATAACTTTAGTTTAAGTGAATGGATTTCTATGAAATTTTTTAAGAAGATTCAATATCACAAAAGGAAGGTTGGGATTGATGATGGTCCCAACCGTTTAGGAATTAGGGGCCCAACAAGGGGCCCAAAACAAGCATTTTTCTAGTTTCAGGATAATAACTTGTGTATAATATTTCGATTGCTCTTGAAATTGTACCACAATGTTTAATACCACAAGTAGAAGGTTGGGATTCATTTTAGGGGTTATGGGGCCAACAGTTTAGGAATAAAGGGCCAAAAACAAGCATTTTTATACGACCGCAAGAAAATTTTGTGGTTGTATATTGGTATGACGTTGGCGTCGTCGTTGTCGGTGTCGTCGTCCGAAGACACATTGGTTTTCGCACTCTAACTTTAGTTTAAGTGAATGGATCTCTATGAAATTTTACCATATGGGTCAATTCCACAAAAGGAAGGTGGGGATTGATTTTGGGGGTTATGGTACCAACAGTTAAGGAATTAGGGGCCAAAAAGGGGCCAAAAATAAGCATTTTTGTAACTTCCAGACATAACTTGTGTGTTAGTGTATGGATCTCTCTGACATTGTACCACAAGGTTCCATATCACAAAGGGAATGCTGGGATTGATTTTGGGGGTAATTGCCTCCAAATTTTAGGAATTAGGGGCCAAAAAGGGGAAAAAACCAAGCATTTTTCTAGTTTCATGACAATAACTTGTGTGTAAGTGTATGGATCTTTATGAAATTGTACTACAAGGTTCCATATCGCAAAGGGAAAGCTGGAATTGATTTTGGGGGTAATTGCCCACAACGTTTATGAATAAGGGGCCAAAAAGGGGCCAAAAATAAGCATTTTTCTAGTTTCCAGACAATAACTTGTGTTCAAGTGTATGGATCTCTCTGAAATTGTACTGCAAGGTACCAAACCACAAAGGGAAGGCTGGGATTGATTTTGGGGATAATTCCCTAGAAATTTGAGGAATTAGGGGCCATAAAGGGGCAATGAAAACAAGCATTTTTCTAGTTTCAGGACAATAACTTGTGTGTAAGTGTATGGATCTTTATGAAATTGTACTGCAAGGTTCCATATCACAAAGGGAAAGCTGGGTTTGAGTTTGGGGGTAATTGCCCTAAATGTTAAGAAATTTGGGGCCAAAAAACAAGCATTTTTCTTGTTTCCAGACAATAACTTGTGTTCAAGTGTATGGATCTCTCTGAAATTGTACAGTTCATACATGTGAACCTCCCGACGGGAGTGCAATAATCCCGTTTTCAGGAATCTCCTCCCGACCTCCCGTTGAAGACAAAAAAATCCCGTGTATGAAATATTTCATGAATGAAAAATTTCAGCCCAACATATCTGGTGTAACTGACATTACTGAAGTTATGTTTAACCTGTAAATCAATTAACATGCATAATTATATGGCCTCACTTGTCACCTTGGGTGTCAAACATACTGGTAATAAACGATTTTTACCTCAGGCTAACTGCCGTTATGTAATAAAACTTTGTTTATTTAAAATGAATGTTGGGTTACTTCCCTTGATTTATCCTGTTTTAAGTTACTTTCCTTTAAATAATGTAAATTTTTAAAAGAATATAAATAAAATATAAATTGAACAAATAATCATAAAAGGATGGTAATTAAATGATTTTAAATGTTTTAGGACAAATAAAAAAATAATAATTTGAAAATTATTTGAGGGTTCTATACTTCCTTTCAAGGCTTAAATTGAAATTTATATAATAACTATGACCAACAACTACAGTTTGAATGTGTTACTTATCATACATTATAAAACTACTTGCATAAAGATAAAAATAAAAGATCTACTTGCAGATAGATAAGCAAATGTTCTGATTGCAATGAATAATGGTAAAAAAGATATGACCTACAAAATTTAAAGAACATACTGAAAAAGAAGAATGTTAGATTGAACAAGCTGAAAGTTTAAAAAGATAGAGAAAATTATAAGTACAAAGGTACTATAAACATAATACATTCGGATGGAAAGTTGAAGAAAACACACTTTAACAGACAATTTCTACAGCACAGGGTTATATTTATGACAGAATTTATGTCGATTAAAAACATCCTGATCTGAGTCCTAATCTCCAAAACTCCTGATCTTAGTTTCACAGTCCATCACATGTATGTGTACTGCAAGGTACCATACCACAAAGGGAAGGCTGGGATTGAGTTTAGGGGTGATGAATCATAAGGGGGTTCAAAAAATTTTGGGGTGGGTGGGATTTTTTTTTCCTTTTTTTCTTTAAAATTTTCCATTTTAAATTGGTTATTTCTGATTTATATATAAAAGCAAATAATAATGATATGGTTTGAATAGATAAATTAAAAATTTTTAAGTTCTTAGACCACATTTATTCTGTGTCAGAAACCTATGCTGTGTCAAATATTTGATTACAATCCAAATTCAGTGCTGTATCAAGCTTGAATGTTGTGTCCATACTTGCCCCAACTGTTCAGGGTTCGACCTCTGCGGTCGTATCAAGCTGCGCCCCAGCGGAGCATTTTATTCTAGTTTCCGGACAATAACTTGTGTGTAAGTAAATGGGTCTCTCTGACATTCTACCACAAGGTTCCATATAACAAAGGGAAGGCTGGGATTGAGTTTGGGGTTAATTGCCCTAAACATGTAGGAATTAGGGGCCAAAAAGGGGCCAAAAACAAGTATTTTTCTAGTTTCTAGACAATAACTTGTGTGTAAGTGTATGGATATCTCTGAAATTGTACTACAAGGTTCCATACTACAAAGGAGAGGCTGGGATTGAGTTTTGGGGTTATTGCTCCAAGGGGGGTTTCAAAAAATTTGGGTGGGGGGATTTTTTTCCCAATTTTTTTAAGGTATTCATATTTTTTTTTCAAAATTTTTAAAATTTCGAATTTTTTAAAAGTTTCAAGAAGAAATCTTCAATTGCACAGTATTGCGCAATGGATTTATATGATCTTTGACCACATTTATTTTGTATCAGAAACCTATATTATGTCAAAAATTTGATCACAATCCAAATTCAGACAGTATCAAGCTTGAATATTTTGTTCAAATTTGCGCCAACTGTTCAGGGATCGACCTCTGTGGTCATATCAGGCTGCGCTCAGCGAAGCATTTTATTCTTTTTAAAATATATTGTCAATATTGGTTTATTCACTTCAATCAAGCATTATCTTTGAGCAAATACAAGGGCAAGAAGAAAGTTTATATATAATTGGTAATAATATAATGATGAC